ACAACTGAGGATGCCTTCCCAAAGGAGGGAGCCTTGGGGGAGAACTTGAAGTCCTGGAGGAGGAATTCCAAGGCTGAGAGTTGATCTCCTTGCTCCAGAAGACCCCCTCCTTTCTCTATGGCTGCTTCTCTCCCAGTCCTACGCCCCTGCCTCCCACTTCTTATGACAGCGGCTTAACACTGGAAAATGACTTAGAGGTCTTAGTTGTCTGAAAACTTAATAGTCATTAACCGTATGATAAAAGTTCCAACAAAGTTCATTCACTCTGGGCTGTGTTACTAGAAACAGAGATGTACAAGGAAAAGTGGGTGAGAATACTGACTTTGTGTTTACCATGTGACCTTAAATGAGATACTTAATCACTCTGAACCTTAGTTTGTGCATAGGTAATAAATACACATGTCACAGGGTCATTATGAACATTTTATTAAATAATAAAGATGATGTATACAGCAATGTGCCTGTTCCATTGTAAGTGCTCAATGATTGGTGGCTGTTATTATTTTATTAGGTATTTCTGGAACCCACAAAATCATGCTACTTCTCAACTTCGTTGCTTAAATGACACACGGTCTATCATTCGTTTTAAGATTTGCAAATAAAGTACATTCTCAGGAAGGAGACTAGGGTTGTGGCTTGAAAACATATCAGACGAGAATTAGATGCAGGGACCAGGAATGTTAAAAGAGCAGACATCATTCTCTGACATTCTGAACTGGGGTGGGTGTCCTGCTGTGAGCTCTCATATATCCCTTTAATAACCTCATCACCTTTCATGGTAACTATGATTTAACGTCTAAGCTTAAAAATGCACGGGAGCAGACACTGTGTCTGCCTTGTCCTCTGCTGTATCCCTAAGAATAAGTTTCAGTGAGCATGTGCTGCATGAAAGGAGTGGAGAACTGGTTGGAAGGAACACAGAGAAAGCTGGGAGTTTTCATTCCCTCCCCAGACTTCACGATCTTGATTCAGGGCAAGCACTCAGGGTTCCGTTCCCACTACTCCCCAACCGCTTCTGGAAATCCCTGAGAGGTGAGCAGAGTCAGGGAGTACAATGTGTTGGGAAGTCATTGGGCATTGGCTCCAGCCCTCCCCTAACTAAGTTTCCTCCTAAATAATTTTTTAGGGAGAAAATTCGTAGAGGCTGCTGAGAATCCAATTCTCAGACATCCCCGGATGGGGGACTCGGGTCGTGGGCTCTAATTGGGTCAGAATGCAGCTCAATACAATTCAGCAAGCAATTTTGACACTCACCATGTGCCAGGCACCATACTCAATGGTGTTCCACATGCAGCTTTTCTCTTTTTTAAAATAAATGTTTATTTTTGTTAAAGTACTACATGCACATGGTTTAAAAGCCAAATAGTACAAAAAGATTCATAAACAAGGCAGCAATCTCTGCACCACCATCCCTCACAAGCCCATCCTGCGTCTCACAGGCAATTCCCGGAACTCTCTTGCCTCTTTTCTCTGGGGTTTACCTCCTGATTTCTAGATAATTACGGGAATTCCACTCTCTCTCAAATCATCCATTTTAGATATTACCTGCTGACTTCCTATTATGGTAAATGAGGATTTTAGCCCCATTCGCATCCCTCTTTTCCCCTCCATCCTCCACTATAGATATAACACAATTTTTGGTTAAATCCATATCTGGGATTTTTATTATTATGACCACATAAATATAGTTCACTGCCAAGTTAATAACAATTGTTTCATTTATTGTTTGAATTTATAGCTAAATCTTCCCACCCCCACCAACTACTATACAACAACTCTCAATACAATTTTCCACACAATCAACTCTGTCAGAATAATCTGCCATTTTCTTTTTCTCCTGCCCCTCCCAGTCCCCCAACAAAACACCTCCTGTCTGAGGTCTCCACTTCCTGCTCCAGTCTGGACTGGTGGTGGTGGCTTTCTAGGCTCCACATGGTTCTTGAGCTCAGATCGTCCTCTTTCATCACCCCAGGGGTCTCCTCAGCCTCTCTCCTGCTGAGGTTCCATTGAATACCCATTTTCTGGATTCCATGACTTCTGTCTTGTTTTTTTTGTCTTAGTGGACCACATCCTCCCTTAGCTTCCCAACAAAGGTGCAAGGAAAGTAAATTTTTTGAGACTTGGCATATCTGAAAACATCTTCACTCTATTTTCACAGATAAGAGTTTAGTTTTAGAATTCTAGGTTGAAAATCATTTCCACTCAAAGTGACAAGAGCTTTGTCCAAGGATCTTCTAGGTTTCCACGTCACTGTTGAGGAATCTGATGCCATTCTGGTCTTGAACATCTGTATGTGAGCAGATTTTTCTGAAAATTGTAGAATCTTGCCTTTTCCCCTGATATTCTGAAATTTCACAATAATATGCCTTGATGTAGATCTTTTTCATTCGTTTTGCTGAGCACTGGTCTGGGCCATTCAATCTGGGAGATTTTCTTGCGTTTTTTCGTTAATATTTGCCTTCCCTCTATGTTTACTCTTCTGCCTACAACACCTGTCAGCCAGATATTTGGTCTCCCGGACTGATCTTCACATTTTTAAATCTTTTATTTCCTATAATCCATGCCAGTGTCTTTTTAATTCTCCTTTCCATGAGATCCCTCTGATGTTAGCTTCCAATCTTTTCCACCGAAAATATTAAATCAGCAATCACTGTTTTAATTTCAAAAGCACTTTCTTGTTCTGAAATAAGCATATAACCTATTGTCTTTATTTTTCAAATATACTATCTTCTCTTATCTCCCTGAGAATACTACCATTTGTCTCTCTTTTCTTAGTTCCCTTTTTCCTTCCATCTGTTTCTGATTGGAGATTGTCCATTCTTGTTAAGCTTCAGGTCCTAAAAAGTTGATTGGAATCTCTTTGTGAAAGGGCTTGGGGCAGTTTTCATTGGTACTTCCAAGTGCTTTGGGGGCAATTGAGTTGCTCCAGAGGACCCCCCAAATTCCTGCCTTGAGGTCAAAGACTGGCTGCCGGCATTGCATGAGTGTGTGCATTTCAGTGAATTCCCATTTTCCATCTGGGCCCTCATCTCCACCGTCCTTATGCACTGTCTATAAGTCTCTCCAGGAAAAATGCCTCCTGTCTCCTGTAGAACTGTCCATGCTCCCTGGCTTTGAGGGTACAGGATTGGCACTACCTCTTCCATCAACCCCTTGCTTTCATCTCTCTGCAGCCCCACTTCCCTGGTGTCCAGCACCCGGCAGTTCCTGAGACTTTCAGGGCTCTGCAGGGAAAACGATCTGCTTCTGTTGGTCTATTTCCTTTGGCAGGCATTTCAACATGCTCTTCTGTTCCGCTAAGGCATTTACCATTCCTCCATCCCATTTCCGCCTTTGTATATAGCAGACGGGATTGCTGGCTTCTCCTAGTTTCATTGAGAATGCGGTTTGTGTAAGTTTACTTACTTGTTGTCTGGGTGTAAATTTCAAGAGAGGAGGGACAAAATCGTCTTACTCCACCATCTTAAAACCACAAGTCTATATTAAGTTTGCATTATCTTTTAATCCTCACAACAATTAACACTGCCATTAATAGAACTGAGGTTTGGAAAAGTTAAGTTCTCTGCCCAAGGTCAGAGCTGGGGAGTGGCTAAGAACCCCAGGTCTGGCCAAGGGCAAATCTGTCCTGCCTCCAAACACTCTGAGATCAAGAGAGGATGGTAAACTACGGTCCCGCCGGGTTAATACCTGGAAGTACAATGTGAGGAAGCCCCCGGGAAGAAAACGGCTCCTACATTTTTGAGAACTTCTAGGTAACTAATGTCTCTCAGAGTCAACGGAGAATCTAGACTGGTAACAGAGAATATCAACAAGAAATGAGACATACTAGAAGTAAGGGCCAGCCGTGGGGAAGGGGGCTGAAGGACTCAGCAGGAATCGTAAATTTAGACCATGGAGGAGGGAAAGGGCATAAGTCCTAAGACAACTTGGAGGAGAAACTGGTTTACAGAAACCCAGAAAGGAAGACCAGTGAAGCCAAAGGCATCACACTGCAAGGGCAAGAGAAATGCTCTTGCGGGCACTGGGCCCATCCCTAGACACCAGTGACTTCCAGACCCCCAGCCTTTCATTGCGATCAGGATGAGAGCTCCTAATGTTCCCCAGACCTGGTTTTCACTGGCCTCTGCCAGGATGGGGCTGGGTTTTCAGTTGAATAACGGGGTTGGTGATAGAGCAACTTAGAGCTGACAAGCTTGGTCTAGCCTGTATGTGCATAGTTCATTTTTTAGACCCAAGAGTAAGTCCTTATGTTAACCCCTCTGTTTAATTCCATCGTGTTAGAGTCTGCCAAAGGAGGGCACACGGGTTTCATTCCACAGACCAGCTCTGATCAGTGGTGGCTGCCTAGACCACCATAGGGAGAATGATTCTGTGACTTTGTCCAGGCTCTGGAGAACAGGTGCTCAGTGCTGCCTGTCATGGGTATAGAATAAGAGAGTAAAGGACATGTGCTATCACCCATTCAGGCCATCTCCTCTCCCTAGATTTGTGTCCTCCATAAATGTGATCGGGATGCTCGCGATGTCCTAACTCAAGTCACTTATAAAAGTTGACTGAGATAGATCCAGGGACAGAGCCATTGGAGCAGTTTTGAGATTGACTTCTAGCTTGGCATTGATGTACAATCACTGGATATAGCCTGTCACATGTAGGATTATTTTTGGAACTGATTTCCAGGCCACGTTTTCCCATCTTCTGTCCAAGAGAGACTTTTTCTGTAAAACCACCATCTGGATAAGACAGAGCAGAGTACACTTCTTTCACGTCCATTCCTGAGATGCATAAACTGGGATGCTGAGAAGTGAGTGGATCACAGAAGAGAAGAGATAAGCCCTCAGGTGGATGATCCGATCCCTGGGGCCCCATATTTAGATCACACCACTTTGAGGACTCCAGCCTGTGGTCTCTTTTCACGTCTTGAGTAAACACTGGGTCTCGTGGGGTAAAATGAACCGTGAAGATCACGCAGAACATAACAAAAATAAACAGGCACACTCCACTTCAAGCAGCTCATACTTTTATCATAAAATACAAACTTTCTAAAATTAAGTGTCTTACTTCTATTTTACCAACAACAATGAAAACAAAAATCACTCACGTTAGCTAAATACAGGTGCATATGTGGTTGAGCAAGTGAGTATGAAAATGAGGGATATGTGTGTGTGGTTGTGCTGTGTGGGGGGGGGCTGCGTGCGTGTGAGTGTTGGTCAATAGATCAGTCTGGTCTTGCTGTTTTCTGTCTGTGACCTGGCTGGAAACTTGGCTTTCCAATCTTCATACCAAGCTGTTGCAGAATCCAGAATTCCAGAACCCTTAGCCCTGATCCAAGGTCTAAGGTAGGAGGAGAGAGAAGAGAAGGAGATCTAAAAATTTATGCCGTTCCCACTGGAGGAAAAGTAGGGGCTGTTCCTCAGGGGCCCACCAGACGTGGAGCCAAACCTGGAAGAGAAGGAAGGTAGACGTCACAAAGAAATTTCCGATGTTAGTGGAGATATTTAGAAAAAATAATATATTAATTTGGGGACTGTCAAAGACTGTGAAGACCATGATATGCCTGGAGGCTAAAAGCTTTAGCATAATAAAAAAGCCTTGGCTCTAGGAAAAGAAAATATTAAAATGATATAATTGGAGGACAATAAAGAGCTTCTTCTGCCACTTACTTAGGTCAGGAAGCCCCTGGCAGCCCTATTATTTCTACGGGGTTTATGCTCTGCCATATCCAGGACCACAGAGCAAGGAACCTGTCTGGACCTGAGCACCTTACCTGCGGGCCTGTGGCCTCTCTATCTGCCTTAGAGGAGCAGGCGTGTCCTTCAGGATATTCAACAAGATCGGAGAACTCAGAGCCACATCCCAAAGTGAGATCTCGGAGTCCAGACAACCCCAGGCTCCTTCTCCTCTTATTAGCACCAAGTTAACTCAGCCCCTTCGTTTCAACACCAGTCTGAGAATTAAGCACTAAGGCATCACTGAGTGCCTTGGACTTTGCCAGACCCTCAGGGAAGGAAGAGCCCAGACGATCTGAGCCTCACCCTCTAAGAGCGGAAATACACAACCTTCTGCTTTTTCTCCCTGACACACTCCTATTCATACTTCAAAAGAGAGTTCAAAAGCCATCTCCTCTGTGATGGCTTCCCTGACCTCTCCAGGTGGAGTCACTTACTCACAATGCTGGGATCCTATCGCAATTTCGTCACCCATCTGCTAGGATACTTTGAATGAACGGGAACAGAGCTCAGTGCAAATTGCAGCAGAGCCAATGGCTGGATCTAGTCTAACCCAGGGATTCTCAGCCACTTTTCAGCTGGGCAGACGCGCATTACAGAAGATGCTCCCGTTCACAGCACCCTCCCATGAACTGATGCAGCAACAAAGGGGGGGGGAGGGGAGAGGAGGAGGGAAGAAGCAACCGGAGAAAACCAGGGCGTTAATTAGTAACGCCTCAGCTGGGATCTGCATCTGTTGCTGATTGTGAGCGTCCATGGACAACCAAGGCACTGGGTTCTGTTTAATTCCCTTCACACTGAAATGAATATCATGAGAGAAGGGACACTGTCTGGCCTGTTCACCATTTTACCCCAGCACCCAGGACCTGGCACAAGTAGGGGCCTGATAAGCAGTTCACACGGGCGGTAACCCCACCTCTTCTCCTCTCTTTCAAAAATCATATCGGAAAAGAAATTATTGAAGCGGACGTTATCAGAGGGACACCTTGGACTCCACTCTGATTTACAAAACAAAGGCTGTAACCCATACTTCAGCGTTGAATAATTACTCAAGACATACCTCGTATCTGATTGCCACGCCCTACACATCTAGGCCTTTCAAGTTGAGAACTTCTGATCAGATCAACTGCCAAGGGCATGGTCTGGACAGGAAGTACACTAGAGGGCCAGGGAGACTGGCAATCGGTGTGGACTAGTTATCAAGGAATGCTTCCTGGAGGAGGAGGAAGAGCTTGAATTGCTGCTTGAGCATGGTGAACTGTCCTGGTTTGCCTGGGGCAGTTTCTACACTGGTATTTCCAGTGTAATTATTATTTGTGCTCCTTTTAACTCTCAGATTTATTGTTGTTTGGAAGATAAACTGTATGGCTATCCTGGTGAATGTGTTCAGATTGACTTGGCAGATGGAAGACAGACTCCCCTCCTCCTTCCTGAGAACCTGGAGGCCACCTGCTCCTTCCTTGCTCATGTCATCTAGTTTGGTCTCTTGATTCTCTCCTTTGCTCCTGACCCACAGGAAGCACTGACCCTCCTTACCTGTAGACTAAACTCTCCACTGAGGCCCTTGTATCCCTCCCACCCAGTGCAGCCTCTCCTAGGCCTTGTTCCGTCTGGCACCACTGTAACCCCCCAACGCCATCATTGTGCTCAGTGCTTCCTGCGTTCCCTCCTCCAGTGCCCAGGTCTTCTTTTCATCACTCTCTGATCCCTCCCTCTCTCCTCCAGGAAACACTTTCTTCACTTGGCTTCCTGCACTCCACACTCTCCTCCTATTTTCTCTCCCACCTCACTCATGCTCCCTCTTAGATCCTTTGCTGGTTCCTCCACATCTCCCCAACCTCTCTACATGTCAGAGGACCAGGGTTCCATCCTCGGGCCTCTTCTCTTCTCTATGTGCATGTATTCCCTGGGCAATCTCATTTCATCCCAAGCCTTTACATATCGTCTATATATTAATGACTCCAAAATTTACATTACTGGCCCCCACCTCTCCACTGAGCCCCAGACTCGTATAGGCACCTGCCCATCAATAGCTTCGCTCATGTGTCTAACAAGCATCTCAAATTCTACACATGCAAAACCAAACTCTGGATCAACAGGTCTTTGCTCTAGTCATCTTGATCTTAGTATTTTGGCATTGCCGCTTATCCAGTTGCTCAAGTCAAAAACCTAGGAATCATGCCTGACTCCTCTCTTTTCCTCACTCCCCATCCAACCATCACCAAGTCTGGTCAAATTCTAACCAGACGATAAACACTCCAGCTCTTTTCACTTGTCTCCCTACGCACATCACTGCCCTAGTCTAGGCTGCCAGCACCTCTTGCTCGGACAGCTACAAAGGCTCCTCTCCTGCTCCTCTGCATCAGCTCCTGCCCCACGGTCCACCCCAAAGTGCCCATCTCCCAAATCTATACGTGGTTCCTTCTCTCGTTTCATTTCGATCTCAGCTCAAGAGACTTTCCTTCATTCTCTCCCTTCACCCCCACACCTGACATGGATGCTGCCTGTTTATTTCCTTATTATCTATTTCTCCTGCCAGAATGAGGGAAAGAAAAACTTTGTCTTGCTTACTCCAGTATCCTCAGTGCCAAGGACAGTGCCAGGCACATAGAAAGTGCTTAATAAATATTTTTGAATGAACAAGGCCTGCACCCCTTGCCTTGCTTTTCTGACCTCACTTTCCTGGTCTTCCCAACCTCTCTGGCCTCCATTCTGCTTTGCTGGCTGCCACCCACTCCCCATCACTCTCCTCCTTTGCCCACAATGTCTCCAGCTGGCCCCAGGCTCTCTCCACTTCTAAGACAGCCCCTTCCTCATTCTCCTGCTGGCTCCTCTTCCTCTCCCTGGTCCTCTGCAGACATCCAGAGACCAGGACTCAACCCTCTTATTGCTCCCAATCAGAGCCTCCCCATTACTGACTGCTGAGACCTTGGGACCACACTCCCTCCAAGTTCAGCCAGTTCTAGCTTCTGCAGAGTCTCTCTTCCCTTGAGCCCATGGCACAGCGTGGAATGTGGGAAGTTTGTCAGCCTGCAGGTGGTCTGTCTTGATCCCTCGGCAGTCTTACCTACTCTCACGTCCAGGGAGGTTAGAACCTCCCGTACAGACTCCTCCAGTCACCGCCAGACTCCACCCTCTCTCACCACCAGTTTCTCTCCCCTCCAGCCCATCAGTTCACTGTAATGTGCACAAATCCGCACTGGTTCCCCAGGCCCGGGAGGCGGAAGCCTTGAATAATCTAATCCAAACCTCCCTTTTCCAATCCTATTTTCCACCTTTTTCAGGGATAAATCTAATACTTCAACCAGATGCTTTTCTTCCCCAGGCCTCAAGCTCACCACGCACCTTCCCATCTGGAGCCTTATTCCTTCTGCCTGGAATGCCCTCCTCCAGTCACTGCTCCCTGGAACCTCCCCATCCTACCGTCCCCCGCTGTCCACCCGGCACGGATTCTCCCTCTCCCCTCGGACCACTTTGATGGTCTTCCCTTTGTCACAGCACTGACATCGTTGTGCCCACATCTCAGGGCTATTAGTGCTCCGAAGGGAGGAACCTTGTCCTATCCACCCACAGGCTAAATTCATATTAACTACATAAATTGAGGCCGCATTTTCCAGGGTGTATTGGGTGGAACACACCATGATATGCTCTACGAGAAAAAGGAGGAAAAAAGTGGGAGGGAGGGAGGAAGAAAAGAAGAGGGGGAGAGAAGGAGGGAGGGAGGAGGTAGGGAAGGAGGGAGGGAGGGAAGGAGGGAAGGAGGAAGGGAAAAGAGAAAAACAGCAAGCAAGAGAAAAATAAGGTTGTTTGGGTTTTATTTTCAAATAACACTATTGACCACGCTCTTGAACACGGTCCATGCACCCTAGGAAATTCAACGATCTGAGAATTCCAACAGTTAAGAAATCTGTTTATCGTTGTTTCTCACAGCTTTTCCCCAACAGATCTGAGTATGGTAAGTCCTTCTAGCATTTGTCCGGTCTAATGAGACATTTAGGGGAAGCACAGAAAGGGTGGAAGTTAGGGGACACATGGCCGACTCCACAGCAAGGGTCTGTGGCAAGGAGGAAGGGCATCAACGTCAGGTCGGGGAGTTTGGCCCTAATCCTATAAACTGGGTTTCTCAAACTGGGGCCTGTGCTCCCCAGGGCGTGCCCGGGGACTCAGGTTCACAGGAGTGACATGGCACCGCCTGCTTCTCGGAGCATCCACAGGCGTAGAACATTTGGTGGCTGGGAATGCCTGGCTATGCGTGGTCTTATTAAAACAACAAACACAGTTTACCAGAGTGTCAAATTTGTGTGGAATTTTCGGCTCAAATGTGGGGTTGTGTTGGCTGTTGGCGGCTAAGCCCTCTCCCCTGCTGTTTGGGGTACTTCCACGGGAAAGTGTGAGCAGCCCTGATAAGCGGCAGCAGGCCCTTCAGCTGGCCTGTCAGGAAGTCAATGGGATGTTTGGGAGATTAGCCTGGCAAGGCGTCTGGGTTCAGCGAGAAGGGGAGAGAGCTGTAAGAAGATTACCTGGCCATGTCCTGTTGTAACCAAGCCAATGGGGAAAGGCAGATGCGTCACGCTCCGCCACCTGCCACCTGCTGTGGACGGGGTGCCCAGCCACTGCTGACCGTGCCGCGGCGTTTCTGCAAGCAGGCTGCAGGGGCCCAGCCCCGAACCAGGCCTGCAAGACCTTGCTCGCCTGCACACCAGCTCCCTGCAGGACCCACACGGCCTCCGGACGCAGGCACGCAGCCCTCCCCTTCCCGCAACCACGGAACACACCTGCCGAGAAAGAACCCGGGAGGCCCAGTGCACTCACTTCCCCTGTCCAGCGGCCTTCTGGACACAAGCTGGGCTTGCAGTGCGGGCTGAGGACTCACCTGTAAGGCGGGGGGAAGAGGTACTGCGGCCCATCTCCTGCCATGGGGGAAGGTTCTCGGGGGCTGCCGGACAGCTTTGGAGGTGTCCTCTGAGGGTACGGGTAGTTGGGCTGGACAAAGGGAATGTAACTCAGCAGAGGCGGGTGGGAAGAGCGGAAGATATGCTGTCCCATCTGCTGTGGGTTGTACGGCGTCACCTGCAGGCAGGGAGGCGAGAAGGGCTAGGTCAAGTGGAGCTCACTGCTCCCAGACATCGCAGCTCCCCAGCCCTGAGCCCAACCCCAGGCCCTGTGCCCCTCAGTCACCGTGGGCTACATAGAGGCAACACGGTGGGACAGAAAAGCCACAGGGCTCAGCTTCCGAATGTGAGACTGGCAAGTTATTTAATTTATCTGAGCCTCAGTTTCTTCACCTGTAAAATGGGCACACATTATCTCCATTGTATGGAGACTGAGTCCAGTGATAGAAGTAGAGACTAACACATAAGAAATAGCAAATAAATATTCTTTCCATTCTCCTCCTGTCCCTCTACCTTTCCCTCTGCCAACAACCATCCGACACACCCCTTGCTCATTTTTTAGTCTTGACCGTCTGGAGAAAACCTGTTGAGATTTATACATCCCTGACTCCTACTTCGGGATCTCAACAGATTCCATGTCCAAGACAGCCCTACTCCGTGGAAAGTGTGATGGATTATGGAAATGTTCTATATCCGCCCCGCCCAACGTAGGAACCACCAGGCACGTGGGGCCATGGAGTGCTCCAAGTGTGACTAGTGTGAATGAGGGACTGAATTTTAAAATTTTACTTAATTTTGATTGATTTAAATATAGATAGCCACATATGGCTAGTGGTTACAGTGTGAACCCAGGAGAAAGGGCAAAACAGGGTATTTGGCTCAAACCCTAGAGAAAAATGGGAACTCAGCGGGGTTTTAGAGACTACCTGGATCAGACTCCCACCAAGAACCAGGGCCCCCACTGTCTTGCCCTTGACGAGGCAGGGACCCCACCTGTCTTATTTACTAATGCAGTCTCAGCACTAAGACAGTGGCTGGCACATAGTAGCTGCTAAATAAACATATATTAAATGAATGAATGCAAGAGAGGAAGAGGAGGGAGGAAAGAAGAGACCACTAAGTGTTTGCTTGAATACCTAAAATGACGGGGAGCTCATTACAATGTGAGCACTATATTCCACTACGGACAGCTCCCAATGTCAGAAAACTCCCTTTTGTATGGAGCTGATGTCCATCCTCCTGTGCTGAGGGGAGTTTCAGTCAAAATTGGGGAAGCTTCTGGATTTCCTCTTTAATAGCAAGAACCCAGAGTCCAAGCTGCTCAGGGGTTCACCCTGACAGCCCTGTCTCACCCTGCACATCCTTATCCAATACAGTATTCACCAAGGCTAGCAGTTATGAAGGCTTACAGTGTGCCAGCCCCTTCAAATGGATTCTCTCATTCAAACTCCAACCAGCTCTGTGTGCTAGGACCATTCCCATTCCCATTTTAGAGATGAGGAAACCGAGGTTCAGAAAAGTTAGGCAACCTGTTTAATGAGTATTTCAAGTGTCTGAGTTGCGGTCAGAGCCCCAGCGAGGTGAGCCCAGAGCCTGGGCCCCTGTACCGCATCTCTGTGCTTGCTCCTTCTGGAAGCCTGAGTCCCTCCCTTCTGGCCCTGCAGTGGACATGCAGGATCTGGACATGCAGGTGATGCTGGACACAGCCACCCAAACCCCAAGATGGCGAGCTAAAGGTAGGAAAGAGCCAAGAGCTCAGAGAGAGGACCCAGGGAGGCACCTCCCAGCACAGACACCTGTGGGTCAGCGTGGCAGGAAATACCCCTGGTTTTCACAGTGGGGGAGGGGGAGGGAACGGACCTGGGAGGAGCCTGACACAAAAGAGAAGATGCAGGTCCTCGCGCTTGTACTGTTTATTCAAAAATGTACTGCTACCTACATGTAACTGATAAAACCCATAAAATAAAGCTGTGTCTAGGCTCTGGAACCATCTCCAAGATGAGCTCTTTGCTGACAAAAGCAATGATAGAACAGTGCCCCCGGAATGCCACATTTGTATAAAAATGTTTGTATAAATAGACATCACCGGAAGGATACCTAAGAACCCAGGAATATTGATTGCCTTTAAGATTTTTTATTTTGTACCATGTTCTTATATTACTTTTTCAAATATATGCACATACATAACTTTGTCTAAACGCATATTTTTTTTTTTTTTTGAGCTCTGTGGACGGTATCACTGTTCATGGGGTGGAGGTGACGTGGCTGAGATTCTGTGAGCCAGACTCTCATCTCCACTTCATCTCAGGATGCAAAGCCCTGACTGCTGAAAAAGCAGTCCTGGCCCAGGTAATAAAGTAACCTCTACCTATGGGCCCTTCTGGAACATTCTAACATACTTCAGGTCAGAGGTGCAGTTTGCAGGGAAAGAGTGGGCCTCCCTGGGGAGAGAGGAGAGGCTGAGGAGTCTGTGAGCTTGAGTGTGGGGTCTGTCCCTCTGTGTGAGGGGGCAGGACCAGCCAGAGAACACAGCTGGTTCCTGGCTCCTCCCCTCACAGCCCCCTCCCTGCCCCCATTTCTCTGAGCGTGCTTCCTTGTGTTTTGTGTTTACGCGTGCACCTGTGCAGCTTGGTGGCATGTATCTAACTATATCTTTACCCGTGTCTGTGTGTGTGTTTGCTCTGCTGCCTTCCTGTGTCTCTGCTGCTTTATTCTGATATTGTGTTTTTGTGTATCTATACACAAGAGGCAGTGAACAATGGCGATTGGGAGCACGGACCCGGAAGCCAGGCTGCCCAAGGTCAAACCCTTGTGTTTGACCACTGTGTTACTGTCAAGTAGATACTCACCGCCACTCTATCCATGGGAGCAGGGGTACCAGAGTCAGTGAACAAAAATACAGGATGCCCAGTTAAGTTTGAATTTCAGATAAAAGATAAACAGCAAATAATTTTTTAGCATAAGTCTGTCCCATGCCATATTTGGGACATACTTATACCAAAAATTTATTCATCATTTATCTAAAATTTCAATGTCACTGGGTGTCCTGTATTTTAACTGGCAGAATGACATGGGAGAAACGTGAATCCCCAGCCCTACTGATGATGGGCAAAGCCATGTGACTTGCTTTGGCCAATGGGAGGTGGGTACACATGGAACCAGCTCGAACCCAGTCACAGCCCAGCTCCGCCAACCCGTAGACCCGTGAGTGAAAAATAAATATTTATTGTTGAAAGACTTGGAGACATTGAGGTTCTTTGTTGTCAGTGCAAAAGCTAACTTATATGTTCACTTTATGACCTTGGGCAAGTTACTTAATCTCTCTGTGCCTCGGTTTCTTCCTCTCTAAGCTACTTCACAGGGTGGAGGTGAAGGTGAACTTGGTTACTGCCAGTCAGGTCTTTAGGGAAGGCCTGGCTCGCAGCGAGGGCTCTGGAGTGCAGCTGTGATTGTCATATGGGGACCCTGGGGTGTGTTTCCACACACCTGCTGGCATTTGTCTCTGTACTCTGCAGCCAGGGGAGGGCCAGAAAATATGGCTGGTGACTAGACAGACAAGGAGAAGGGAGCAGGTGTCCTTCTGACCTCGTGGGGCTGGGACAGGGTGGAGTGGCCCTCTACTCACCTGTCGAGAGTAACACCCCAGCGGGGGGTGCTGGGCCTGCTGAAAGGGCATCCTGGCTGCCTGCTGTGGGTACAGGCCCTGGGGAGAGAAGGCAGAGGCTCAGGGCCACCGGGCAAGGGACTCCCAGCCAGAGAGCAGCAGCCACTCAACTGAGCTTCCAGCTCACATGCCTGGGTCCCCACCACACCGCTGGCCAGACCCAGCAACTGCCTGGTCCAGCTAGAATCAGGCTGAGCAGGCACAACTCACATTACACAGGAAGCCCCTGGTTAGCAGGATTCACAGCCTTTTTGGTGAGTATTTAAGAGCTTCAGGAGCCTGACTGCCTCTTGAATCCCAGATTTGTCCCTTAGCAGCTGTGTGACCTTGGGCAAGTCGATTCTCCTCTCTGAGCCTCTTTTCCCTTGTCTGTAAAATTATGTGTATTCAAGCCTGCAAAGCCTGTGCAGGTAGCCAAATTATCTTTGCTGTTGCCTACATCCCTTTTCTAAGTGCCTTTTCCCAAACCCCATTCCTGCCCCATGACAGGAAGCGGCCATGTACATCTGCACGTGTGTGTGTGTGTATTACTTTGCATGCATGTTGACTTAAGGACATCTGCACGTGTGCTTCCATTGGTGCCTGCAGCTGTGTGTTTCTGTGTACAATGTGCATCTGCGAACGCAGGTGTATTAGTTTGGGTCTCTGCTGCTGTGTGTCTATTTGCCCAGGTGTATGTCTGTGTCTGCACCTACGATGAGGCCTGGTGTGAAGATAAAGGAGTTAATGCATCTAAAGGGCTTCGACAGTGCCGGGCACTTAGTAAGGATTCTGTAAATGTTACTTTTTTTTAGTATGTCTCACTGTCCTCCCTTTCGCACTTGAAGAGGCTCTCTGGCAGCTCAGCCAAGTGGGAAGTAGAAACTTTATTCACAACTCTGGCCTTGGGTACCCATATGTACACACACACACATGCATGTGCGCGCGCGCACAGACACACACAGCAGAACTGCTGCTGTGGGTGGGGTCAGCTCATGGCCCCTCCAGTCCGGAGTTATCTCCTAAGATGCAGCTTACAGCTCAAAGCACCCCTCAGACCAGTATGCCTTTCCAGAAGATTCTGCACCCTGAGATGCTGCCTTCATTCTGGGCTCAGCTTGTGCCAATTATCAGTGTTGACGGTTGACACTGTGCCCCTGATGACTTCCTCAGAGCCCATAGGCTCCTCACCAAAGGCTGCGAAAGTCCTGATATGGGGTCAGGGGGAAGTCTCCCAGCTCTCCTAGGGTCCCATCTTCCAGGTCCCCAAGAGTGCACACCCCCTCAGAGCCCCTCCTTGATCTCTGCTCCCATTCACCTGACACTTGACTGTGGTCGGGCCCCTCTCACTTCCACACCTCCGTCACCTGAAACCAGTGCGCCTGCTCCCTTTTGCTCCAAGCCCTGCATCCCGGGGCAGCCCCACTCACCACGATAACCCCAGCCTGGTCCCTGCAACCCAGCTATGGTCTGAACCTGGACAGAGAAGCCAGATGGATGGGGCTGCCGTGCCAGTTCCCAGCCCACAGTGAGCTCCAAGGCCTGGTGCTAAGCGTCCCTCCTCCGTTTCACTCCCTCCCTATTAACATTCAGCTCTGCTCGCACAGCCAACTTCCCCAGGCTCCCAGCTTCCCAGCCCGCCTGGGCCAGGCTACCCTTAGGATCTGTGGAAGACCAACAGCTGCCCATCCCTGCTCTGTCCTGGGGTGGATTTTCAGGAGACGGTGCCATGCGCATCAGTATGAGCAACACTCTATGACTTTAAGGACATTTCTCGTTATTTGAATTGCAATTCTGTAAAATCACATTCTTCTTTGCTTGAGCCCACCCTCCCTCCTTAATTGGAAGCAGAGTTCCTTTATGCCAAGCAGCCCAGAGCCTCTGAAGCCCCTTGGTGCTGGGGATTTGGTCTTCCCTGGCTCTGTGTCCCTCCACAGGGGAGCTCTGAGTAAACTGGACTCGGGACCTCATCTTTATTCCTAACGCCAAGCAGGAAAAGAGACTAGGATAGCCTGTTCCCCGTTTCTCCTCTCTGTCTCCTCAAGGTCTGTGGAGCTCCCTGACCCTGTTTTGCAGGAAGATTGGGGCTGAATAGTAATAAAGGCCAATGTCTGTATCATGCTTTAGATTTTACAAGGCCCTTTCCCATCCATGGACTCCATTATCCTCACGACCAAATCGAGTACACGCTGCTGCTGCTGCGATTATTATGAGCCCATTTCACAAGTGAGGACACCGGGGCTCAGAGCTTTTAGCTAACATGCCCAAGGCCACATAGCGGAATTCCTTTAAACGCAAGTCAGTCCATTGCAAAACTTTCTTTTTATCATATGAGGCCACTTGATGTGCCGTCTTGAAGCTGGATGGCATTACGAGATCATGAGAAGCTGGGAGAAGGTAAATTACACTGTCCTTTACTACTTCCCAGGAGGGTCAGTTCCGACAGGTGACTTCAGGCCCATTCAGGCCTAAACTGTCCCCAAAGGACCCTACCAGCCAGGGCCTTCCCCCACTTCTGCCCAGAGGCCTGGGAAACCTCAGAGTCAGCCCTGCGATGCTAACGTGGACATCTCTGAAGACAAATGAACTTTACGCCCAGAAAGTATGTGCCAACCTCACCTACTCCCAAAAGCCAAGCGAGAAGTTCACATAGCGAAGGGACATTAGCCCCTCTTTATAAAGCAAGCCACTGTGAACTGGCTTTACAGGGTGAGCCCCGTGAGTGCATTTTAGAGTGAATCGGTCTAGGCTACATAAAATTATGCACTTGCTCCTTTTTCAGAGGTGGGGGTGCACGTGGTGCTGGTCTCGGATCTGCTCTGACTTGTGCTGGACTCGGAGATTCAGAGTCATTTGGAACCCCCTCACCTCGTCAGTGCTCGGCCTGTCGTCAGCGAGAAGCAGAGGTCATTAAACTTACTGAAATGAATGAGTAAGTAAATGAATCAGTGAGTAGGTGGATAAATGGCTGAACAGAGAAGGTGCAGAGACAAAAAGGCAAGAGGAGAGGGATCTCAGTGAAGAAGCTGCTAAGGATGCTGTATCACAGACAGTCGCTGAGGCCCCTGGACCCCCCTCCATCACACTTCTGTCCAGCCTCTCACCTCAGCGGAGGTGCTGTGGCGTGTGAGGCTCTGTCCCTGGTGAGGGGAGCTTAGGCACTTCTCTTTAGAAAACAACGACAACAAAAAAAAATGGCTTGAAAGCAAAACTTTGGAGAGAAAAAGAGAGACTTCGCTAAACTCCTTTAGGTCCTGTTTTAGATTCAGGGGCTGGGCCCGCTGGCGCAGCGGTTAAGTACGCACGTTCTGCTTCGGCAGCCCGGGGTTCTCCGGTGCGGACAGACGATGCACTGCCTGTCAAGCCATGCTGAGGCAGCGTCCCACATATAAAGTGGAGGAAAGTGGGCACAGTTGTGAGCTCAGGGCCAGTCTTCCTCAGAAAAACGAGGAGGATTGGCAGTAGATGTTAGCTCAGGGCTAATCTTCCTCAACAACAACAACAACAAAAAAGGATTCAGGGGCTAAGTCTGGGGGATCAGCTCAGGGAGGCCTTACATGGAGTAGAGAAGATCGAAGCTGAAAACCTTGCCCTTCTGTTGTAAAGGAGGAAATGACATAGGGACCCAAAGGGCGGAGGGAGGGGAAGGGAACGTAGACAGGCCAAGATGATTTTTGGGTGGACTTCCTTCGCTATTTGCCCTCTCCAGGCTGTGCTGGACCAGGCTAGGGCAGCAGATTCCCAAGGACCTGGCCCCACAAGCTGCTGTGTGCTCCCTGTCCTCCTCGTCCACCTCAATGCCATTCTGGAGGGGAGCGGGGAGGGGAGCAGGAAGCTGAGAAATCTCAGACACTGGGCATCTTTCCTGGAGAGCCAGAACTATTTAAGATATTGGATTGGATGACGTTTTAAACCAGAGTGGACGTTTATTTGATTTTTTCTTCCATCTACCCAGTGGGTGGCAGCTCTTAAGGGAGATTAAGTTAAATAGACTAACTAAAGAAACTACATTTTCCCTGCATAAATAAGTTCTGTGAGTAAAATTCCCAACCCTACTACAAGTGTTTCATCATCCCTTTGGGTGTGGACAGCAACTCCCTTTAAGCCATGAGCCCAAGACTGAGACTTTATGCCAAGTCACCTTAGCTGGTGTGGGGGATCAGAATTGGCCACCCCAAAATCTGTCTCTTTGCCTTGCCTTGATTATTTTTAAGAACAAAAGACTCTGAAAGAAACTTTGACTTTCTTCTTAACTGCCTAAAAGAGATTTAAAATAAAGGCCTGGCCCCAGGACGGGCCCTCACCATAGATAACTCTGGGTATCCAGTAGACTGGGAGGGTCCTTGCTAAGCCCCTTCTTATCAAAGTTCTATCTACCAAACATTTGCTTTTCCATTTCCATGTGAATTGCCTTCCTCCCCTTTGAAGCCCCAAACCACTACCCCCAACATCCTCCTTTGTCCTTAGCTGAAGATGGTATTTAAGATGAGAGCCCCTGCCATTTTGGCGAGTTGCTCAGTTTGCTTGAGTGTCTCCCATGTATACATGTTATAAAGCTTTGTTTGATTTTCTCCTGTTATTCTGTCTCATAGCAATTTAATTTGTAGCCCAGCCAGAAGAACCCAAGGGTAGAGGAAATGCCTTCCTCCCCTACACTGGTACAAGCAAAGATGGCTCGGATGTAGTTTAAATAAAGTGGCCATCTAATTTGTCATCCACACCAGGTCAACTGAGAGTGAAAGGGGGTGCTATTAACAATTACCCTGGGACAAAAGATCTGAACTAGGACTGTCCCGAGTAATCCAGGACGGACGTCATCCTATAAAGGAAGTCACAGGATGTGGGTGGAAACAAGGCCTATGCCATCATCCTATTCTGGGAACCCAAGCACTTAACAGGCCAAAACTCGCAAAGCAGCTCTGGAATACACAGCTCAGAGTGAACTGGAATTCAGATGAAGGAAAATTAGAACTATACATGCATATGCGTGTGTGTGTGTGTGTGTGTACCAAGTAGTTGATCTGATGTGACCCCAATGAAATTAACCAATGAGTCTGAAGCATCTTTGCTAGTCTCCCTGCCAGCCACAGCTCCTCCGTGGCCGGAACCCGGGTGGATGGCCAGGCAGAGAGCCAGGCCCAGGCCCCACTGGCTCACCTGATACTGTGGGAAGTTGGAGTGATTTGTGAACACGGGCGGAGGTGGATAGTTCAGGTTGAGCCAGAGTGGCTGGTTCACGGTTGCCGAGGTCAAGGTGGTGGCAAAGCGTGGAGTGAAAACATTCCCTGTGTACTTGAGGTTGTTCTTGTCGGCCACTGTCACAGGTGGGTTAACTGTGAGTCATAGGAAAGGGAGAGCGTTTCAGTGAAAAGGAAGGGAGAGGCCAGGATGCCTTTGGCACCATGACTGTCCCCGGGGTGAATGTTCTCAGAGCTCAGGTCTTTTACGCTCCCGGAGGGTTCTTCAAACTTTGGGTGAATTTCCAACTATAAGGAAACATCCTTCGTTCACACCTTGCCAAGTTGGAAGCGGTGAAAATCCCAGCATGGTCTGGCTTGGAGCTTCTCTTTCCATCGTTCACTAGCAAAGGAGGGAGTTTACCAAGAGAATACAACCAACCAGATTGCTAGGGCTGTATTTCACCTACATATGAAACCGAGTTCTTTCAAGGGCTTTAGAAAAATCCAGTTTTATACAAACAATTGCTATGATATTGGAAGTCAGTCTTATCAAATTATTCAAGCAGCCGCCTGAGGACGTGTGCTTGGCAACACTGAGGACCTTCCACAGGTGGTTGTATTTATATTGGAATAATTTTTTAAAACGTATTTTAAAATATTATATATTGCAGTATGGTATGACCCCAAACTAGTCTAATGAGTAAGATTTGGTTGAGCTGTTTCAAGATGTGAATCCTAGTTTCTCTCTCTACAATATGTTCTATAGGCTTATAGAGTCAGAGATGGGCCTCAGTTTCCCCTTACTGGCATTTTTTGGGGGGGTGAAAGGAGGTTTGACGAAAGCAGTTATAGGAAGGCACGGGAGAGAGAGCAGAGACATGAATAGTCCCAGCGTAGAAAAAATCTGAAGCACAGATTTTTATTTGGCTTGGGCGACTGGAGGGGTTGTGATGTACACTGAGTTAGGGCTGCATTCAGATTGACCACCAGGAATAACAATGCCCGTGTGGTCCCTGAAAACCAGCTGCATTTCTCTAGCAACTGTGTTCCCAATAAGAGGCATGAGGAGAATGGATTTCCCCCATTTTATGGGGGGAAAACTTTTATGGGTTTAAAAACTGACACCCAGAGAAAGACAGTGACCTGTCCATGGATGAGACAGTCATTTGATGGCAGAGCCATTCCCAGGGCCCCTGAGGGTTTCTGAAATCCTTTCGTCTACAGACTCCTTCTGGGCAGGGTCAGCTTACGTTTCAGCTTCAGCCCATCCACGTCCACTTTGCTGCGAAGCCTCAGCTGCCGGCTTGGGTTCTTGGTGGCCCCAAGGAACTCATAGAGCAGGTTCTTCTTGGCCGGCCATGCAGGTTTCTTGACGGGCAGGGCTATGGATGTGGAGCTCACCGGGTCACTGCAACCCTCCTCACCACAGCTGTCCTTCTGGCTCTGGGGCCACTGACTGAGAAAGAGGCTCTCTTGACCCTTGCTTGGTTCCTTGGCACCAGAGTTCCGTTCTACAGAAAGAGGGAAACTGAGTCAATGGTTTCGGAGGGCCAAGTGTTAGATGCGAGAACACTGTCTTGTGATCTAAGTGATGGGTCCTCCATAGGACATACCTGATGCTCAGGCCACTCTAGGGTCCCTCTCCCAGCCCAATCCAACCCCAGTCTCCTTCGTGAAGCCTCCACTGCCCACTGCCCATCCTGGTCTTCCCCTCTCATACTCGCATGCATGCATCCATCCAGTCTTATCTTCCTTCCTTCATTCCTTCCTTCCTCCCTCCCTCTTTTCCTTCCTTCCCACATTTCCCCTTCCTCCCTCCCTCCTTTTTTCCTCTCTTCCTTCCTTCCAACCCTCCATAGAGCCAGGCTCAGGATACCAAGCTGACTTGGACACAGTTCTTGCCCTCAGGGAACACTTGGTTTCCAGGGGGAGACACACATCCCCACAGAACACGCGGTCTGAGCCTCGGTCTGCTCCCTCATCACGAACTCTGTTCCTGCTTCATTGCTCACAGGCGATACAGCTCACTTGTCAGCGCCAGGCCCTGACCTGAGTGCTGGGGACACTGCAATGAGTCAGAGCCAGACTTGGCCCTGCAGGAGCTCACCACAAGGAGGAAGAGAGAGACAAACCCAGAAATAGCTCTGGGACAAGGCAGATGGGAACCGTAAGGTGACAGAGACACAGTGGGAGAAGAGGGGGGCTGAGACAGCCTCCATCTGAGAGGGTCAGAGGGCTTCCAGGAGGAAGTGCACCCTCAGCGAGGCCTTCCATCCAGGGGTACGGTTTGGGGGAGGAGGCCTGGCAGGCACAGCTGACTGTGGGCAAAGGCATCAGAGAGACAGAGTGAGTCACTGGATGTAGTCGGTGCCAGGCTCAGGAATCTCTCCAAATAGACCCAGCGTTCCCAGTATGAAGATGCTGCCCGGACCATCGTGGGACCCTCCACAGCTATGGTTTTCACCTGTATTTCCTTTTTAGCAATGGAGCTCTTCCTTCAAACAAAATTAAGTATTGTGGGGAGGAATTATATACATATGTGTGTGTGTGTGTTTTTAAGGCATTGCTTCCTTGAAGCAGGGAAGAGGGCCTTGCCCTCCCAGCATCCTTCACTCATTCTCAGCCTGGAGGTCATGGTCTCCATAGAGCTGGGATGGAAAATGGTGCTGGACACATAGCAGGCACCGTGGAACATTCTGGTAGGAGCCAGATCAGAGGATCTGTGCCCCGTGTTACCTGTTGGGAGTGGATCTGATCCCACCAGCTCTTGCCTCCCCAGCTCAGGGGACCTGTGGCTGTGTCTGGACAGGACTGGACCTGTCCTCCTGGAACCATCCCAGCAAAGGGAATAACTGCTCCAGCCTGAACCAATTTAGGAGAAAATGACATTTTTAGCAAAATATGTCCCTAGAGTCTCTTCCAAGAGTTTCTCTGGTTGCCGCGTTTAGCCCCCGGCCAGTGCACTGAAGGAACAGTACCCACTAATAATAGCCTTTCCCCAGAGCCCACGCACCTGCATCTCTCCCACACCTCCGGTTGCCTTAAAGATGCTTGCCACTCAGTGACCTCAGAGCTCCCTCTTCCAAATTCTGTGTACACAGCACACACAAAATCCTGCCTGTCGTTCCTTTGACTCACTCACACATACACGACTACACACACAAGATGGTCAGACACTCAGACACACTCACGCATGCATTTTCTTTAACAAATGCACTCACACCTGCAATGCTCCCTTTGGCTTCCCTTTGCCCACATGCTTGTCCACACAGACACACACAAACGGTGGGGAGGGTGGGTGCGACAAGACTGCCTCCAACCAAGCAGCCCCTCTCCAGAGAGCTAGCCAGGCACCCTTCCTGGAGGAGGAGGTGGGAGGAAAGTCCCCTCTCTCCAGAGAGGGCTTAGTCCTCTCATGTATACAGTCCTTCGCCTCCAAAGAGCCCTTGGGCTCCTAGAGGCCTGCCTAAGACCCAGAGTGCAGCTTGCCGTCCACAGCTCTGGTTCCTTGGCCTTCCTACAAAGCTCCAGAGCACAGAATATTCTCGAGGATGACCCCGTTCCTATTTTCTTAGGGGGATGGATTTGGGGCCTCCAGATACAGGCATTTCTCAGTTGTCCATCTGTGCTTACAGCCTGGGGGGCATTTGTCTTTCAGTTGACGGGAGGATGATCTACATTCGTAGGGACCGCTGACTGTAGGCAAATGTCATTGCCATCAGTCTGCCTTCTTGGAACCATCAGTCTGAGTGGCTGGATCGGAAGAGGCATAAAATGCCGAATCTGGGAGTGGGTGGGGGAAAAGTGGGAGCTGGCTGGATTTCCCGGGAAAGATGTGGACTCCTCAATTAGGGGATGGAAATGCACTTTTCTGAGGTTTTGGAGTCCCAGGGAACAAATCCCAGGGCCAACAGTCTGAACTGCACCTGGAGGGTTTACATGTTCAGCCCCCTGTCCCAGAGAGAGGACCAGGCCTCAGGGTCAGAACGGGCGCCTCCATCGGAAGCCAGATGACCCCAGGGGCCAATCAAATTTCTATCCTATCCAGCAAAAAGTCCAAGTCCAGGGTGAAGCTGGACTCAGCTAGGGTAAATGCTTCCTTCAATGTACTCTGGTTATCTGGTGGATTCAAAAAACGAGCCAGTTATCAAATGTGCCTGTCTATCTGCTCAAAGCATTGGGATGAGGACTGCCGTATTTGCTTATACAAGCTGTGCCCCATACATGGGCATCCAGCAGAGGAGCCCTGTGGGCACTAAGAACACCCTGCACCTGGGGGCTGCACCCACCAGGGAGGCCACCTCGTCCTACCCTGCACAAAGATGCTGCCTGTGCCCGCGGCAGCCCTTGTGGCTTTCTGATAAGTTTCTCCTCCCTGCAGGCCCACTTGCTATCCCTTCCCCCAGTCCCACTCACCTATCAGGAGGTGCCCCTCCACAGAGGGGTCAGCCTCGGGCTTGGAGCAGATCTTGGCAAACACTGGGAGCTGCCTCTTCTGAGCAGGGAGCTCTGGGAGCTTGTCGGGGGGTGCAGGAGGAGGCGAGGGTGGCAGCAGCAGGAATGGGCCCAGCCCTGTGGGCTCCTTGGGTCCAGGGCCACTGAACATGCTGTTCTGCAGGAAGTCCTTGATGACCTTGGTCTCCTCCAGCACCATCTTGTTGTCGGGGGTCTTGGACGTTTCGGTGGACTTCAGTGGGAACTGGGCCAGGAGCTTGCTGATCTCTGAGTTGGAGGCACCCAGACTGTGACCTCTGTCTTCTGTCCCCTTGGCACTCTTGACCTTGGCTGCACGCAGGATGCCCGTGACCGTAGACATGGCAGAATCGCAGTCCTGCCGGCTGCCGATCACGGACACGGCCACCTTCGGCTCCAGAAGCTCATCATTAGCAATGACGGAGGCTCCTGGGCACTCACTGCTGCCTGTCACCAGAGGAGGCACGAGAAGGCAGGGAGCCGGCTGTCGAGGCCCCTTGGGAGAGCTGCCAGGTGCCTCCAGCTCCCCCGAGTTGTCTGCGACCAGGATGAGGGGCTCTTTGGTCAGGCTCAGGAACTCCTGCTCCACCAACAGGGAGAGCTCGTCTTTGCCACTGCTGAACTCCAGAGCTCTGTAAGCAGGTCAGAAAGACAGACGGCTTTAATGCCAGCTCCCTAGGCGTGGCTCTGCAGGAAGGCCCCAGGGAAAGGGGGTGGAGAAACATGTTTCCAGGTAAGAGAAATCTATTGCTTTCTCAAGACAGAGAATGAACCAGGAGTGGACTCTCAAGAGGTTTCTATGCCACGCCAGTGGGCACTGTACCAAGAGCACAGTTCTAGGAATGAGGACCCCTGGGTCCTCTCCCGATGCTACGTCTGGCTGAGTGAGCTGAGCCTTAATTTCAATCCATTCCTCCCTATCCAGTAGTGCCCAGGATCTGAAACAACAGAAGACCAGCAGCAAACGGGTCGGGAGTAAGCCAACAGCTGTGAGCATGGGGTCCAGGCGGCTGAGGTTGAGCCCTGGGAAGCCCCCAGACTCACTGCAAATGGAAGAGCGAGAGAAGGGATTGCGGAGGGGACAGCAGGAGCTCATGTCTTGGCTCCGTCACTTCCCAGCTCTGTGACCCTGGGCCTGTTGCTCAGCATCTCGGTACCCCTGTCTCCTCATCTGGTTAACAGGAACATCACAGATGTGCAAAACGCTTCACATAGTGTCTGGTACAGAGTAAGGATGACACAAGTGTCAGCTAGTATGTCTACCCCCGTGTCAGCCTGGCTGGGCCCCTGGATCCTGGATTCCACACTGTGGCCCTGTGGATACCCATGCCTACCCTGGCTGGCATGGTCATCTGACCAGATCATAACCTCTGGACTGAGCCCCACTTCCTGGGAGCAGCAGCAGTTGGTTGGTCCCTGCATCAATTTGCAAACATCTCCTTGCATCTAAACACTGGCCTCTCTCTGCACCTCCCCTTCTGGACCCTTGATGGCCAGCGCCAGCCTGATGGGCCCGTGGACTCTATGCTCCTGGTTGCTGGCTCTTTCCAGATGTGGGAGGGGATGGTAATCCTGCTGGCCTAGCTTGCCTTACCAGTATCCTTGGCAAGTGAGTATCTTTCTCCCTGGCACTCCAGAAAGACCATGGCTACACAGCTATAGAAACTTCTGCTACTTCTACTCAATGGGCTCCTGTGAAGCTCAGATGAGGAGGTCTACACAGAGCATTCTGGAAACTGCTCAGTGCTCTGCCCCAGGAGAAGGTGATGAAGATGATGAAGAAGAGTCAGAGGAAAAAATTAAAGCACCCCACAAGCAGAGATTTGCCGTTGGGGCAGCCTGGTACACGCTCCTGTTCCGACAAGCCACTCCGATGGCCCAGTGGGTCTGGCAAACAGTGACTAGGGAATGCTCCCAGCAAGGACATGCCTTCCTGGTGATGCTCTTTGTCTATGAGCACGTGCACACTCACATGTGCACACGGAGAAACATGCACACACACACATACGTGTTTGATGCACACACAAGTGCAGATGCATAATGATGCACAGGTCACCACACAGAACCAGGGAACAGTCAGTCCCTTTGACAACCAATCAGAATAGGCAGAGGCTACAGTCCCGGAGGCTTCCTGCTGTGCTGGGCGTTAACCCCTTAGTTGCTGGGTCCTGATGAGGCCCAGGAGGTCCTGGAAAGGGAGCTGGGTGGCCAGGGCCCTTGGGGAGCATGGGGAAGAGCTGAGGATATGGGAGCGTGTCATTATCCTAACAACAGAGACAGCTGTGCCTCCTGAACGCCAGCCCCACATGTAGCCTTGCAGGCTCGGAAGCAGGAAAAAGCAGACTCCAGCCAAACGGACCTGGGTCAGAATCGGGCACCACTGCTTATTTCACATCCAACTCTGGAACCTCAGGGACCTCCCTTTTAACATAGCTATGACCCTAACAGCACCCACTCTGTGGGTGGTGTGAGAACTTGCGGAGGTAAGCTGTGGGTGAGCTCCCCATGATGCCCGCATGCAGGAAGCGCTCAGCACGCGCTGGCTGTGAGCATCAGCTCCAGTGCAAGGCTGCAAGGACCAGCAAGCCTGCATGTGAGGCGAGGCCAGCTTCTACTCTCGCTTTCCTCTTCCATCCCTTCTGTCTCTTCTCTCCTTCTTCCCTGCCCTTTCTTCTGTTCACTTCCTTACCTCCTTCCCATGTCTACACTTAGTCTATAAATAGGCCCCACTCTCACCACTGTGCCCGTGGGAACAACCAGAATAAAGAGGCTGCCAATCCATGGTCCCAAGCCGTAGGTCCCTCTTCACCATCCTCCTCAAAGGGAACGGGTGAGTCTCGAGTCACAGAAACCAGACATGTGAAGGACCAATTTTTACATCTCCTCCTCCCAAAAAAACTCGCAAAGTAAGCTATAGACCAAGAGATTTTCTGAATTAGAAAGACTTACTACAATTATGTTAATTCTTAAAACTTGTGATAATGGTATTGTGGTTATACTTAAACAACAAAAAAAGAGTCCTTATCTCTTGGAGATACATATTAAAGTATTTACAGATAACTCTATGTCTGGGATTTGCTTTCAACTTAATCCAGCAGCAGGAGGGAGAAGTGGGGGGTAATATGTTGATCATCGCTAAAAGCTGGCTGATGGTACATGAGGCCATCACACGCGATTCGCTGTACTTTCATGTTTGGTTTCTGTTTCTGCTATTTTCTTTTTAATAAAAATGTTACACAATACATGCATACACGAAAGTCTCACCACTGAATCCTTTAAAGTACCGGTCCCAAGGAGAAGTCAAAGCAGCTTCTAAAAGACCCACAGGGCCCTGGAGGGTTTGGTACCGCAAAAGGCCCCACAGGTGGTCCCTTCTCAGCACCTGAGAGGGTGCTCCCACCCCTCCCCCAGCCCGGAGCCAGGCGGAAGCTGAGGAAGAACCCCTGTTCATGCTCCCTGGTCACTCTCCTCTGGACACATCGCAGGGTCAATGGGCCTCTTAGGAAGCTGGCGTTCCCAGAAGGACCCACTCTGGCGGTGGGTTCTCCACGTGCCCTTGAAAAGCTGCCCAGAGCATCCTGGTTTCCCTGGAACAGCCCCTACAAACTCCTGTTTCCCTTGCATCTGCCGTGAATCCACTATAGGCCAGACAGGAAGCCAGGCATCCACACATATGCTCATGTTTAACCCTCTCCACACCCCTGGGCAGTAGACAGTATCATTCCTACTTTACAGATGGGAAAAGCGAGCCTGAAAGAGGCTAAGGACCTTGTCACCAAGAAAGTGGAGAGGCTGGCGTGGGGGTGCGGTGCGGATGGGTCGGGCTGCCTTTACCACATCCCCCCTCAGCCCCCCACTTCCTTTCCAGGGAAAGTTACCCAGCGAGGTCCCCCTGCTCCGTGGCTGGGCTGTGCTTCCCAATCTGAATACAAGCGGGGATATTGCTGAGCTCATCTCATCACTCCGGCCTGCGGAGGATCATCACGATGAATCCGGAGCCTGTCATCCATGGCATTAGTTGTCCCTGACAGCTGCGTGCCAGCTGCATGTCTGATGAGCATGTCTTCTGGGTCTCCCGCCAATTTATTGATAAAAATGTTAAACTCGAGAGTCCAGGCCTGAGCCTTGGGGACACTGTCAGAGACCCTCCCCCCAGCCTGACAGTAATCCTGGATCAACACTTTGGGAGAATAAAGCAATCCAGCCACTATAGTCCCATCTCCACTTCTCTAAGACAGCCTCTCTCAAACACCTGGTGCAGCCAAGATGCAGGTCACAGTTACAAGTCCCTGATCCAGGGTCTCCCTACCTGTCCCCTCCACTCCCAAGAAAGCAAGATTCATTTGTTGTTATTTGTTCTAGAAAACTGCACACCTGCAGAGCCAGGACAGTCTTAGAACTCAGATCAAACCATCCTCCCACTAACACTCTCTTGGCGGATTCTCATTTACACACAGGCTAAAATCCAAACTCCTTTCTGACCCCCAAGGCAGCACACGAAGTGGCCCCATGGCCCCCTCCTGCTTTGACCCCCCGTCTTCCAGCCACTCTGACCTTATAAATATTCTTTGACAAGCCAAGTTCATTCCAGCCCCAGGACCTTTGCACTTCCTATGGAAGGATAGATCAGCCCTTGACTGGCTCCTTCTCATTCAGGCCTCAGGTCATCTTTCATACTTTCAAACTAGCCTTTCCTGCCCATTTTTAAATGTCCTTCCCCCTGAACCTCTCACCTCCAGCCTTACTAGGCACTCTCTGCTCCATCAGCTGTTCATTTTCTTCCTAGTACTGATCACCATCACAGCATCTTATTATGTCTTTACTCCTTACAACAGCATATCTTCCCTGAGGGCAAGGATGGTATCTTGCTCACCACAGAGCCCTCAGGGCCCAGAGCAGTGCTTGGCACATAACTCCATCTCAGTAAGCATTTGTTGAATAAATGAACGAACCAGCTCAGGACATTGTCCTTACTCTTGTCCATTTCCTGGAGCTTTTGAATTCAAGAGCTCTGTTGCCAAAGATTTCCCCATTCCTTGTACTGGTTACAACCTTTCTGGCTTTGATTCCATTTTCCAGCCTCCCATCTCAAGTCCCACCTCTGGCCTGGCATCCCTGTGGGTGATCAGATGACGTTAACCACCCTGCTTGACCCGATCCTAAGAACCGCCAACCTCTGCAAGGCAGTCCCCTGGCAGATCCCACACAGAACCCGCCCAACTCTTAGCAAACACTTTGGGGCTCACAGAAAGATTTTCCATTCTCCCCACAACTTCGTTGGGTTCAATGTCAAGCCTGTCCGCCTGCATTTCCTGGAATCTATCCTTTTGTCTCTCTTCCTAAGAAGCTATGCCGATGCTGGCACCTCTCCCGTGCTATTTGCTTTCTCCTTTGAGTTGGTAAAAACCATAAAATCTGCCACAGACTCTATCACGGTGAATCACTCGGGGAGGTTAATCCAGCTCCCGGGCTCTGACAAAGGAAGCAAGTCAGAATTGGTGCCCAGCACCTCTGCTTTGCCCACCTCCAGCAACGATAGGTGTCTGATGGCGGGTCTGTACACGGCGCTGAGCGTTATCTCTGCATTTGCAGTGTACAGAGCCGTATAAAAATAAAGGCTACTGCCTTGTTG